TACCTTCACTCCATTAAAATGGACAAGCTTGACGAGACAACTTGACAGAACGAAATAACAACATAAGACAAATGAAATATAAGAAGCACGTTATGTCGCCCCCAGGATTTCGCGCGGCTATTTTTTTCTCGCGGTTTTCTTTCGCGTCACGCACGACCGCCTAAGCGAAAGAGGGACTACTCGAGTCTAGTTGTGTCGTTATGTTTGCAATGCGAACATCCTGACATACAGTGTAATGACATAATAGCAACATAACAGCATGAACATAACAACATGAGGAAACAGAAACTAATCTTTCCCTTAGGTCTTTATGTCGATGTTTACAGTATCGACGTAAGCGATTACATGTTGTCATGTCAGTAAAACCGTACTATTAAACCTCATTTTCTCGGTCCGTACTGTAAATTTTCTCCGTTCGGATTTATGGTCCAATTAAAAAGCCCGAAGCGCACGAGCGATAAACCCGAGCGGAAAAAGCGAGGTTACTTACAGTACGGGAAAAAAAAAATTACATTAAGGACCGAGAAAAGGAGGTTGGTAACCCTTTTATTATATCTCTGTTATGTGTCTGAGGATTCCGGAGACGATTTCTATTTACGCGGAATGGCTTTAAATCGGACTGAAACGAGTAAAACGAGTAAAATGAGTCAATCGCAATCATAAGTCATTAGCACGCCTAATACACAATTTAAAGATAACGAAAGTTTTAATTTTTTCTTGCATGAAAGTTCAAAGCAGTTTGCGATACAGTTTGGCAACAAACGCAGCTTGAAATTTTTAGCGGGCTGTACAGTAGAATACAGCGCACGTAAATCCCAGCGCAAACTGAGAGATGTGTGATTTAACCAGTCAGCAAGTTTCTTCCTTAGGTTTGGGTTTTTCTGGGTGAGTGGCCATGGCAAACGTGTTTACATCCTTGTTGCCATCCAATTCAGACCACGTGATGATGCATTTGGGGATATCTTGAGAGGTTACAATTGAGCAATATTTGTCACATGCAACTGATTGCATGCTGGAGTATGTACAAAACAGAGCAAATGTAACCTCCCAAATGAATAATCAGGTGATCTGAATTGGCTGGCAGCAAGGTCGTTTACACGTTAGCCACATCCCTCTATTTCCAGCAAGAAATCGCAAGATGAGCAGACGTTTTAAGGAAAAGATTCTTATTATAGCATTCACCCTGACTCGCCCTGAGTAACAGTCATATTCTTTTTAGAGTACTAGTAAAAACAACATGGTCTTCTTTGCCTTGCAGCACAGAGACACAGCATCGTGATCACGTCCCACCCACCAAGGTCAACACTTATTTCACAGCAATCAACACGGGTAACGCCGAGCACGACAACCAATCAGTTAAAGAGCTCNGCAGCACAGAGACACAGCATCGTGATCACGTCCCACCCACCAAGGTCAACACTTATTTCACAGCAATCAACACGGGTAACGCCGAGCACGACAACCAATCAGTTAAAGAGCTCGAGAAAGACTGTTGTATCGACCTCGGCAGCAGTAACAAGTACACCAACTGCTGTTGCTGTTACTGGAAGTAAGTGTAAGAATTAAGTTGCGCGTGTGCAGGAAATACTCAGTGGACGTTCCACTAGGCTAGTGGAGTTCTGAATAGACCAGTTTACAGTTGTCTGCTCGGTGACCTGGCCTTTGGATGCCAGCGAGGCTGGAGTTGACCTTGTTTTGAATACAGACCTCACTCACTGCTAGTCAACCACTCAACTAGTCAAATCCTTATCAAAAATCTCTAGCCAGCGATGCAATATTGTACCCGAATTTATTCACATTACACCTTCGGGGTGGCGAGGGAGGGGGCGGGGGGAGGGGGGTTAGCCAAGGCCAGCCAGCAAATTTCTTCCTGAAGTTTGGATCCTTAATTTTGTGCATGTGCCCTTGCACATTTACCCTGACAAGTCCAAAGCTGCAGTCATACACAGAAAAAAAAATAATAATAATAATAAAATCGGTCTTCTTTGCCTTGCAGCCCAGACAAACAACATCGGGATCGCGTCAATGCCATCATGGGCATCACTTTTTTCACAGCAATTAACACGGGTAACGCCGAGGACGACAACCATTCAATTAACGAGCTCTAGAAAGACTGTTATGTTGCTCTCTGCAGAAGTCACACGTACACAAACTGCTGTCGTTGTTACTTCAAGTAAGTGCAGAAGGTTGTGCTTGCGCAAGAAATACACAGTCGACAGTCCACAGGAGCTAGGGTAGTTTTGAATTAAGGAGGGGGGATTTTGGCAAAGGTCTCCCGTTTTCCGCTAGCGTCCAGTTTTCTCGCGATTCTATCCGCGCGTTCGACGATCGAATAAAAATACAGGAAAGTAGAGGGCTGTGAACAGTCTACTTCAAGTCTAGAAAATACATTCTGATCCCGGAGGCTTACTTACCTCTTGTTTCTTTCGACGCAAAGAAAGTTGTCCGCTGACTGAGCGGGACGTACAGATTTAATAGAGACAACAAGAGAGAAAGAAAACCAAGCTGGTTCCAGGGCAAAGAACCAAAATTTCTACGTAAATGATTTACACAAAGATTAAATGCAGGCTGGAATGAACCACAGCACTATCGCTCCTGACTGACTGACTGACTGACTGACTCTGACGGACTGGCTGACTGACTGACTGACTGACTAACTCACTGCAGGTGGTTGACTGACTGTACTGAATGACTGACGGACTGACGGACTGACGGACTGAAGGACTGACGGACTGACGGACTGACGGACAGACGGACTGAC